TATGTAGGTCGATGGGTGGTAGGTAGGTAGGTCGGTAGGTTGGTGTGTGGATGATGGGTAGGTAGGTGGGTGAGTAGGTGGGTGGGTAGTTAGTTAGGGCAGTCAGTCGGTGGGTGGTGGGTGGGTAGTAGCTTAGAGTATGATCTGCTACATACTGTAGAAGCCACATTTCTGCTACTGGCAATTGTCTTTCATCTATCCTAGGGGTATGTGTGTCCCTGCCATACATCAGGCATGATAATGCCACGGTCTAATAGAATTTTAACTGCGTATCCTTCCTTGTCATGTGTCCCCTTTTTTTATTGTTAAAGTAAATTTAGGAATGTTACGATCTGGGAACATTGTACTTTCTGCAGTTAGATTTTTGGATGTGGTAAAGTTTACTACTCTAATTCCATTTTCATTACTAATTTCATATAAACCCTTATTCACAACTCTTGGCTTGAAAATGTCTTCCCCATCTACTTTGGTAATGAAATCTCGTCACAAAATTTTCGTATGGTATTTCGGGAATTTATCAAATAAATTTTCTAGTTCTTCATAGAACCTGCCCTTTATATCATGAATTTTATCCCCTGTTGGAGCATGAACATTGAGAACAATGATATCACACCGGCGACCTCTTAGTATTATGTACGACATCCTATCACTAACGAAATCAACCCTCTTAAATGCTGATACGATTCTCCTATGTACGAAAAAACCTGTACCTAATTCATAATTTTCATTCCATTTTCCACAGAAAAAATGTATAGTCTCCTGCTGGTTCCGTGCCACCTCTGTCCCATGTGACCTCCTGTACTCCCCAAGAAATCCTAACATATTCTGGTATTTCTTTCTCAACTGTCATAAGCGAACCTGTCTTATACAGACTTCTTGCATTCCATGTATCAGATTTCATGTCCTTTATCCAATTAATTCTTAATTCGCTTAGTGGGGGTGGAGTCCAACTGGGTCCACTCGGCACGGCGGCCACTGATTGGCCTATTGTACCCTGCCCCGGGTGATTATGATGATGCAGAATTTTGTGGAATGAAGATTGGCAGGGGAAACCGAAGTACTCGGAGAAAGCCTGCCCCAGCACCACTTTGTCCACCACAAATCCCACTTGACCAGACCCGGGATCGAACCCGGGCCACCGCGGTGGGAAGCCAGCGACTAACCGCTTGAGCTATGGCGCTGCCTTCAGTCCTTTACCCAAGGAATCCATCCACGTCCGAGGTCCTTTGTGACATTTCGTAACAAGCTTATTTTTTACTGCGAAGAGTTACTAGCCCCACTCCCAACCCCCAAACTGGAGGACCACCCCTTCTTGGTTGTCCACGACTGCTTATTCAGTATATTCGCAGATACCCTCCATCCTCAACCTGAGGACGCGCCATGCCCGGGGTGACAAGGGACTCACCTGACACAGCTTGTTTCGACATCTGCAATATATTAATCAGTGTTATATTTTTTATGTTACAAACTAAATATTATCTCAATATTATTGTGTGTGTAATGTTTTTGAACGTTTCAGGTGATAACAAGTTTTCTAGATAACCACCTTTTAGATAAGTAGATCATATATTACAAGTGTAACAATTTTCATAATGTGTCTGGGAACAGCATACAGTGAAACGGCTGTGGGAAAGCCACATGCTATTGTCGATCTCTGAGCTGCTTCAGTTACCCTTTAATAAGTAGTTTATCTTATGACTGTAAACAAGATATTTTACACACAAGCTTATAGACAAATTTCTTGTGTTCAGTGTGTACAACATTTCTTATTAATAACTCCATCAACACTTTCACTAGATCCTCTTCAAGTTTAGATTCCCCCTTTCCTTCTAGGAAGGTCCTTTCTTTACTATCCCTGATGGAGACTGCCTGCAGAACATTTAAGCCGACTTGGGCAAGTTTTTGATAAGAGATGGAGAAGCTACAAACAGGAACAGTGGTACAGCCTTCTGAGAGAGAGGCTTATGTGAAGGATTACAGGAAGCCTAGAGATGCAAGCAGGCGTGCCCAAGGAGCACCTGCCATTAGGAAGAAGGGCTCGGTTGAGGGGTTGGAGGAAATGGGCAGGTAGCCACTTTGTACCAAGCTGTAGGAGTCGAGGCTGTGCACTGCAGCTTATAATATCCAAGCAAACTGTAGGATTTGTTGGATAGAGTTCTGCCGAGGCTTAAAGGGAAGCATCTAGGGGAAACAGCAAAGGAGAGAAAGAGGAAGATGAAGAGGTGGTAGAAAATGGATTCTGAAACGGTCCAAATTGAAATTGGACGCCATCAAAGAAAATTCCCATCCATTGAAATAAAATGTCTTGTATTTTAATGAAGAATAATTGCTTTTGTACGTAGTGATATTCTGTATCTTAGATGTAGGCAATATATTCCTCCGAGACTGTTCAGAGTCGAATCTCATAAGATATTAATGTCCTTAGTTACCCCTCCCCCTGTGAGAACCTCAAATCTGACACTGAAACAGAAGTTTTTAGAAGCCGATTTAACCTCAGTGTCTACAGCTTAGAAATTCTAGCACAATTCCTTTTTGAAATGGTGCACGAAATCGGATGAGGGAATGCCATTGCAGCCAAGCAGAATTCGAGACAGGGGAACTGAATGTTTTGCTCCGACCAGTAACTAGAGCCGCGCCATATCACTGAGTCATCTGTTCTGTCATTGGACGAAAGCATAATCAATAGATGACTCCTGCGCGGAAAAATAAACACAGCCAACTCTGAGGTACGAAACAGATTCAATATGGTGCTATATTATTTGTATCCGCTTATAAAATTAGTTGTGATGCGAAATATGTCGATATGACAAGTTATATGTCACTCACTCATGGGGCTGAGCCCTTCTTGAGAAGCTGCCAAATATGGAGCTACTCAACGACTTCACAGCATTTTATGGAACCCGAAAGTTCATTACCGTGTTCACAAGAGCCCTCCACTGGTCCATATCCTCAACTAGAATAATCCAATCCATACCATCCCATCTCTGATCCTTCTTAATATTGTCCACCCAATCACATCTTGGTCTTCCTCCCTGCGGCCCTCCCACCAAAATCCCATATGCATTCCTCTTCTTCCCCATTCGCCCTACATGCCCTGCCCACCTCATCCTCCCTGATCAGATCATCCTAATTATACTTAGGAAAGAGTAAATGTTATGAAGTTCCTCGTTATGCAGTTTTCTCCAACCTCCTGTCACTTCATCCCTCTTCGGTGCAAGCACTCCCCAACACCCTATTTGCAAACACCCCCAATCCATGCTTTTCCCCCAACGTCAGAGGCAAAGTTTCACACCCATACAGAATCACAGACAAAATTGTATATTTTTATATTCTAATTTTTGTTTCCAGACGGCAGACGAGGACATAAAAGCTTCTGGACCGAATTGTAGCAAGCATTACCCGAGTTCAATCTCGAAATAATGATTTTCAACCAGATGTGAACATACCACTCTCTAATAACAGATGATCCCGTTAATGGGCGGTTGTCGGAATGAATTGAACTACAGAGGGCGGTATTTGTAGGATACACATTTACATCATATTCATTCGGTTCCCTTAGTGCAACAGTGGGCACAGAAACAAAAAACGGTCTAAGACAACAGTTACTGTTGTTGCATAACTTACTGATATAATACATTAAGGTCTTGGTTACTTACGAGAATCTGAATGTAGCTCCTTAACAGCCAAGACCCGCTATAGAATTATCTATTAGAAACATGAGAACTGGCTGAGAGGAAATGTAATCATTCAGAAACGCTCAAATGGTCCTCACATTTACTACAAAAGACCACAGGTATATGTAGACTGAAAGCTCATTGTTTATTTTTAACATTGGTATATCATATTTTATGCCATCTATTGACAGAAATGCTACAGTATATGATTAATATAGACCCGATCTCTTGGGCTGAGGAAGTTTTAACAGTAACTACGCCAGCCGAGCCAATGGGATTGTGGAGTGCAAAAGGCTATAAAAACAAAAAGAAAACTCCTTGGCCTATAGTCCGCAAGCGAACTATACCGACCGAGCGACCGCCGCTTGTCGGCGAAATTAGTGCCAACTCTTGCGGGTAGAGCGTGTCACGTGGTCAGCGCAACGGATCCTCACGGCCGTTAATCTCGGTTTTCTGGACCGGAAAAATGAAGATTAAAAATCTTTTAATGCGAATTCTTTCACTCTGTTTTTGTCTCAAGTGCAGTCCAATCTGAAACTGTCCAACATACAAAGTGAACTGACATGCACGTCCTTGTAGGGCTTTAACAGCAGATGTCTCCTGACGGTTCGGACTGCATAAATTGAAATGAGAGTCTCATGCCAAGGTAATTAACACACAATATTGTCACGATTTACTTGCGTGACTATAGATGGCGTTTGAATTGGGGAATAGATTTATTGACCACTTATACACACGACTCGGAACTACAAGCAATTACAACGCGGTCACTGATCTACACACTTCACAAATCACTGGAGCACACGCTTAATCATTTTCTGGTAACGAATCTTATTAATGGAGATTCTTCTGCTTCTGTCCTCACATCATTACTGCCCGGAGAATATTCTACAACTGAACTACTTAATTATAGCGCCATCTGTTCTCGCACTTACTTGCAGAACTAAACTGAACTCATTGCTCCAGCTGTCCTGGTTATAACATCTGCACGGACCACATAGAAAACACCTTTATTCTATTTTTGCGTTCGTGTATGTTGCCCCGGGAACGTGTTTACTGAACTGTTGCCCAGAAACTGGTTGCGTAGCCCCTTTGTTAAGAATCTGCTGCCCTAGTAATGAGCCTTGTTCGCAACCTTTACTCAGCAACTGCTCTACACGCTACAATATATCGAGAGGCACGGCGCGCACAATTTTCATTTTTATTTTCTTGGCTAGCGCGTATGTTTCAATCCGTAAAAGTTAAATGTGCGTATGATGCGACTGACCCACTATAGTCTACTAGGGTTGTAGTCACTATCTCAGGTCACACTGACTTTTGATTCAGGTATTCATGGAGGCCAGGGTGTTCTTCAGCTTGGATGGGGAGCGGTACCAACAGACACCCCAGTACTTCAGCCTCGATACAAGCGGAGAGGACGAATGGGACCATCACCCGATACAGCTGAAGGACCGAGGGGGTGCTGCTCGCAACGTCACAATTCCGCTCCAGAGCAGAGTGGGCCGTTTCGTTAGGCTAGAGCTGGACTTCGCCAGCAAATGGATATTGCTCAGTGAAGTGTACTTCGATTCTGGTAAGTGAACTCACAAGATACGATTATAAGAGTTCAAATTTCCATTAGGGTGAGCCCGTTTCTTTCTCATCGCAAATTATAAATTGTTAATAAGATCTAAAAGTTTGTGACGATAGTACATTAGTACAAATATTATGTTTCTGGGAGGGATAAAGTGACAGGAGGTTGGAGAAAACTGCGTAATGAGGAGCTCCATAACTTGTATTCTTCTCCAAGTACAATCAGAATGATCAAGTCAAGGAGGATGAGGTGGGCAGGGCATGTAGCACGAATAGGGGAGACGAGGAATGCATATAGGATATTGGTGGGAAAGCCAGAAGGAAAGAGACCACTGGGAAGACCAGGGCGTAGGTGGGTCAACAATATTAACATGGATCTTAAAGAGATGGAATGGGATGAGACGGATTAGATTGATCTGGCTCAGGATAGGGACCAGTGGAGGGCTCTTGCGAACACGGTAATGAACCTTTGAGTTCCATAACATGCTGGTAAATTCTTGAGTAGCTGCAGAATTGGCGGCTCCTCAAGAAGTGCTCAGTCCCACTAGTAAGTAAGTAAGTATTATCTTTCTGGACACTATTCATGATCTTGTTTTTTTTTTACCTAAAATACCGTCATGTTTTATTTTAAAACGCAACTGTTTGGAGAATGGATTCTGTCTCCGTCTTCAATAAAACCTACTCAGTTGGGCCGAATCGATACGTTTCGGAAACTGAATTCTGTCTCCGTCTTGAAGCAAAACCTACTCAGTTGGGCCGAATCGATACGTTTCGGAAACTGAATTCTGTCTCCGTTTTCAAACAAAACCTTCTCAGTTTGGCTTAGTTGATATGTTGTATTTTTAAATAAGAAGCAGGACGGTGTTTTAGATAAAAACAACACGATGATGGATAATGTCCAGAAACATAATATTTGTATAAAAAAGTTAGTCAAGAAGAAATGCAGTCACATTAGAATCAGCAGTTTCTGTGTAGATTAAACGTCCTCAGAACGGTGACAATGAAAAATAATATCTTCCGAAATGTGACTCCGTATAGCCCGGCAGTTCACAGACGTTTCGAAGGAACCTACTGCTTTCATCTTCAGGGTCGGTTAGGTGTTAGGCGAAGAGTAAGAAGAAAAAAGAGCCGTAAGCTCACCGATCACTGTTTATTTTTTCGTTCGCTCCTTGCTCAGCATATCTTCTACCCTGAAAATGGAAGCAATATATTCCTCTGAAATGTCATGACTACTGGATTGTCTATCGTCACCTCCAGGAATACAGTACTTTTCGCTAGTGTTCAGTTCAATAACTTCTTGTAAGTATTTTAAACCGAACTTTAGGCACAAATTGCTAACAAACATAAGATAACAGAAAATATTTGTGACGCTGCTAAGACACTCTTTCTGTTTATTTAAATTTAGTTCATTTTATTATTATTAAGACACTTCATCATGCCCCTGTCCTTTATAATATAAAGCAGGGCTTCTAAGCCCGGAACCACAGTTTAAAAGTATGAGTTCCGAACAGGATATGTCTGAGGAAATGTTTTGAAACTGCGCAATCCAGTAGATCCTAAATTCACAATAATACATCACAAGCTGCAATAGGTACTGACTTATATTCCTGAAGTTTTATTATGACTGTAGATATTGAGGTAACAACATGGAAATCCCATTATACGTATTAATTAACTATTATTAATTAAGCGAGCAATTCGTCTCAAGAGCCTCTGACCTCTGTTCGGGAGATGACTTGTTCGATTTTCGGCCGGAACTAACATTTTTTATTGTAATTTTTTAAAACTTCCATCAGTCTCTCTGAAAGCTAAAGTTAGAATTGTCCCTGAGCTTAATTAATTAAGCACTACGTCTTGTGGACGTATGAACAGTGCATGTATACCTCGACCATTCTTGTCTTCAGCACTAGATGGAGGTTAGTGGTCAGTTTCACACACCTGCCGTTTTACGTCAAGAGAAAGATCCCCCTGTATATATTGGATAAGGAGCGGTTTGGGCCCCAGAGCCGGTCTGGAAACTGTGGAATAGCGTAAGATCTCTTCCCTACCGAGAATCGAACCACGGTCTTTAAGCCTGTAGCCCATTGCTATACTGACTGAAGTATCCCAAATGTAGGAAGAGCAACTTAGATTAGTGCACGTCAGCCTTCCTTCCACTTCTTTTTCAAGTCATTGTTCACATCTCTTCAGTAATTCGACAGTTTATACTGGGAGGTACTTGCAACGTGGTAAAACATGTCATAAACTTTTATTTTGTTAAATGTTGTACAGTGTCACTACCATGAATGTGTGCATTTTCAGTCATGTTGATTCCAATGACCACACTTTGTTTCCTAACCCTCTCTGTTCTGCATAGATAGCAGATTAACCTATATTCACACGAGCTTCTTTATGTACGTACAGGGCTCTAGAATTAATTACTTTTTCACTAATGTAAAAGTTTAATTACAATGCATGTCATTGAAGTGGCAGACTGTGGACCTCAGCCATTATAGTTACTAAGCTAAGGGTTTAACATCCAGAACACCAGGGTTCGGTTCCTACGAGGAACATAATTTCTCTCTTCTCCAAAACCCTCTAGGAACCATTTTATCAACTATTTAATGAATACCATTGGTTCTTTCCGTAAAAGTAAAGTGGCTATGTTCTAAAGCCGGCGAATCACTTCTATTAGTGCCGAGTTTAAGTATGTATGGAGCTATGCCTCCACTCCCCATCCATCTTCGGAATATGGTACTAAATTAAGCACAATACTTTTGATCTGTTGCATGTAGATGAAAGAATTGTGTACAAAGTATAAACAAAAAATAAAAACTCCATGGCTTCAATTCGCAAGCAAACTACATCGGCCGAGCGACCGCCGCTTGTCGGCGAAGTTTAGTGCCAAATTTTGCGGGTAGAGGGTGTCGCATGGTCAGCGCAACGAATCCCCACGGCCGTTAATTTCGATTTTCTAGACCGGATCTGCTATATCCTTGAAATAGCTCCTCAATTATCCTCACAAGGTTGAGTGGACCACGTTCCAGACCCACTACTTCTGAGAAAGTCTGGTAGCGCCGGAAATCGAACCCGGACCTCAGGATCTGTAGCCAGGAACTGTGACTACTGTGACCACATAGGTGGTCATGCGTACAAAGTATTAGCAGGAAAACTTGAAGAAATTAGACCAGTTCGATTACATTGGCCACAGATTGGAGGATAATATTAAAATAGAACTTGAATTAGGACGAACAGATATGGATTTGATTTCGTTCGCTCAGGACAGTGACCAGTGTTAGGCTTTTGTGAACACGGTAGTGAACGTTCCTTTTCCATAAACTTATGAAAATTCTGAGAAACTACTAGCTTCTCTTCTCCAGGTAGTTGAAATGTGTTTAATTACAGTTATGTATGATTCAAACAATAGTGTTTAGATATCGCTCAGTGACTTCGTGTAGTAACATAATCGGCTTGGGATAATGTTGTTCTGTGATACGAACATTTGGAGAGTGTTAGCCTCACAATGGTATGGAATTATAGTTACACAAAGTATGTACCAGAGCGTAATAATTAACTACTTATAAGTACTTCATGGAACTTCCATTATGCGAAAACTTATGGGAAACTTTAACAAGAAACAGATCTTATAATAAAGCGTAGATAACATCATAATATCGCGTTCGTTCAAATCCAGCAAAACGGATACTTACGTAAGTCCGTGTTCTATTTCGCTTTACGGTGTTGAAAGGAACAAGAATGTATGTCTTAGTTTGAGGTCGCCTTTTAGTTTACCTACAATGAGCGGAAATTTAAGAAGGCGCCTTGATGAAATCTTTGCTAAGCTGAGGTCAGTGTCATTGTACAACCTTTGGAAACATATAAATGAACTCTATCTAAGAAGTGGCCCTATCCAACGCGGACATTCTCGGGTCCGAGTTCATGGCCAAATTTTACTGCCTCAGATTCGAGACTCCCCCCAACCTGAAGGGCAAGGCCCCCCTATTTATATCCACCGGTAACAGGGTAGCCCAGTTACACCCCCCGGCAGCTAACTGGCCTTGCTTAAAACATCGGCACGGACGGAATAGATAACACAGCTTCCATTATTGCTGTATGGCTGTTTCCGAATACAAGTCAAAAGCGACTCACTTTAACCAACTTTTTCCGTCTCTAGGATAATATTAAAATAGATTTTAAGGAATCAATGTCAGAGGATATGAAATAAATTAATCTGGCTCAAGTTATTTATCAGTATTGGGCTGTTGTGAATATAGCAATGAAGATGCGAGTTCCATAAATGTAAGGATTTTTTTTGATAAGCTAAGAGACCATTGGCTTCTGAATGATTTTGCTTCATAGAGACAGTTACACGGGTAAAGAGAATATGTATACCACAGACATTACTTACTTACTCACTCACAGAGCTGAGCCCTTCTGGAGGAGCCGCCAATTCTGCAGCTACTCAAGAATTTCCCAGCATTTTATGGAACCTGAAGGTTCATTATTACCGTGTTCACAAGAGCCCTGCACTGGTCCCTATCCTGAGCCAGACCAATCCTATCCATACTATCCCATCCTATCTCTCTAAGATCCATTTTAATATTGTCCACCCACCTACGCCTTGGCCTTTAAGAGAATAATCATCTTTTAAATTTCTTACGAAATTGTAGACATTCTTTCTTCGTGCTAAAATAAAAATTTGTGTGGTTTTGGAAGTATGTCTATAATGAAGAAAGCAGTCTTCTGGGATTTGGCACCGTGTATATGTGGTGTTAACCGAAGTTTCGGAGGAACGTATCGCCTCCATCTTCAGGGTAGAAGGAAAAATATAAGAAATCCGCAAGCGAAGAGACCGTGAGAACCGGTAAAAGCAAACCGGTTAACACCACATATACACGGTGCCAAATCCCTGAAGACTGCTTTCTTCATACTCACCGCCGTGAAAGCCTCAAATCTTACACGTCTATAATGTTTACTTCTACATTACTTTGTATACCTTGTATACGCTCCTATAGCCTATTT